TCCTCCATAGTGGGTAGGTTCTGTGGAGTATCATATCTTGATCCTGGTGTCATCCATCGTCTAATGTTTGTTTTGGGGAATTCAGGCCGAACTTTAAGCAGAGCTCCAGCCTTCACAGAAAGGCCACCATCTTCATCATCATCACTGGACGATGAGCTCGATGATGACGTCGACGATGAACTGTCCATGCCACACTCCATGGAACTGATGCTGATGTCATCAAGGCTGTCACCATCACAACCTTTTGGTGTTTTTTTTCATTCTTCACTCTTGCCTTTGGATCAGCCTTCTTTCGGGTTGTCTTTTTTGTTGGCTTTTTCTCATCTGCCGTGTTTCCTTTGTTCATCACATTCCTCACTTGTTTGTCTGTCATGCCGACAGTTGAGAAGCCAAGGGCTGCAGCACTTGGCCGTCCTTTTGTATCTCGGTTCTTCTTGACATCCTGCTCCTGATCCTCAGTCTTGTGCTCCTTGTTGGTTCTGCTTTGGCCCTCCTTGCTGTGTTCACAGCCTGCAGCTTCAGCATCACCCACCTTCTCATCTTCATCTTCATCATCCATGTCTTCGTCTTTCCCTTTTCCAGCATCCTTCTTTCCTTCTTCATCAGCTTCGCTACCCTCCTCATCTGCATCCTTCTCATCGTTGCTCTGCTCGTCATCTTCTTCCTCCTCATCTTCATCCCTGTCCTTCAGAGAGTCTTTGCCATCTTGGCTCTTCTCCTCATCTACATCCATCTTCTCACCATCTCCCTGTTCTCCTTCTTCCTCCTCATCTTCATCGCCATCCTTCAGCAAGTCTTTGCCATCCTGGCTCTTCTCCTCATCTTCGTCCTTCTTCTCATCTTCACTCTGTTCTCCTTCTTCCTCCTCATCTTCATCGCCGTCCTTCAGCGAGTCTTTGCCATCCTGGCTCTTCTCCTCATCTTCGTCCTTCTTCTCATCTTCACTCTGTTCTCCTTCTTCCTCCTCATCTTCATCGCCATCCTTCAAAGAGTCTTTGCCATCCTGGCTCTTCTCCTCATCTTCGTCCTTCTTCTCATCTTCTCTCTGTTCTCCTTCCTCCTCCTCATCTTCATCGCTGTCCTTCAGAGAGTCTTTGCCATCATGGCTCTTCTCATCATCTGCATCCTTCTTCTCATCTTTGCTCTGTTCTCCATCTTCCTCCTCATCTTCATCATTATCCTGCAGAGGGTCTTTGCCATCCTGGCTCTTCTCTTCATCGCTACTTTCCTTGTCGGATGTGTCAGTGCTGCTGTCTTCGCAGTCATCAGAAGAATCAATTTCTACTTCCCAAGCACGATGTCCAATCCTAATAATTTCCTTCCTTACTTCCTTTGTCCTGGCACCCTCAGTTTTGTCCAGCTCTTCTTCATCATTGTTGCTCTCATCAGAGACCCCTGTCGACCCACCATCATCACCTTCTTCTGCGTTGCCTTCATCATCACGTGTCAACTCAGTTGTTTCATTCTCATCATTGGCACCTGAGTTGTCCTCAATCTCGTCAGGCGGGAAAGGGTCATCTTCTGACGGGTACAAGGAGGAGTCTCCAAGTTGATTGTCAGGATGCAGCACATCATCTTCGATTTCAATTACCTCCTTCATCTCATCTTCATCTTCTTCATCCATGTCTGTGTCATTCCCTTTCCCTGCATCATTATTTCCTTCTTCATCAGCTTCGCTACCCTCCTCATCTGCATCCTTCTCATCGTTGCTCTGCTCGTCATCTTCTTCCTCCTCATCTTCATCCCTGTCCTTCAGAGAGTCTTTGCCATCCTGGCTCTTCTCCTCATCTTCGTCCTTCTTCTCATCTTCTCTCTGTTCTCCTTCCTCCTCCTCATCTTCATCGCCGTCCTTCAGCGAGTCTTTGCCATCCTGGCTCTTCTCCTCATCTTCGTCCTTCTTCTCATCTTCACTCTGTTCTTCTTCCTCCTCATCTTCATCGCCATCCTGCACAGAGTCTTTGCCATCCTGGCTCTTCTCCTCATCTTCGTCCTTCTTCTCATCTTCACTCTGTTCTCCTTCTTCCTCCTCATCTTCATCGCCATCCTGTACAGAGTCTTTGCCATCCTGGCTCTTCTCCTCATCTTCGTCCTTCTTCTCATCTTCGCTCTGTTCTCCATCTTCCTCCTCATCTTCATCATTATCCTGCAGAGGGTCTTTGCCATCTTGGCTCTTCTCTTCATCGCTACTTTCCTTGTTCTCACAACTTCCATCACAACTTTCATCACCGTCAGTTTCTCCCACCTCTGATGGAGCAGATCTCTTCTGACCTCTCTCATCTTTGTCCTTTGTCGGCTTCCCTTGTTTGCCATCCTGCTGAGCTGCAGCTCTGACTGAGGATTGGTTAGATTCTTAAGTGGCCCATATTGTAATTAATAAAAGTTATGGTTGCTTAAGCACCTACAATTGGGACCCATCGGAATCCTCATCCCCCTTGGCAGGGAGAGCACCACTAGCCAACCTCAGCAGTTTTTTGTTGATTCATTAAAAATAGTCATTGCTGCAATCACATTTATGACAAGTGGCATTGCAGCATCATCCAAAGGTTCGAAGTCAAAAAACGGCTGGGTATCCATTTGATCTGGATTCCTTGGTTTCCCCCAACTCTGGATCAATGTAGGATATATAGTACGAGTTGTGTGCCATATTGTGTTTGAAGTTCCAAGTGTCACAGTTGGTGCTTTTGTCGTTAAGCTGGACCTGGATGAAGAAGTACCCCTATATTTCATCTTCTGTTGCCTCTTGACCACATAGTGGCAACGGGCAGCCTTGATGATGGGCATGGAAAGTGTGAGATAGGGTGAGATGGATCAATGAACTACCCTCTGGTAATTTAACGTAGCTATTGAAAATGGCCATTAATAGTTGATTTTCCCATAAAAAATGGTGATTTTCCATAGCTACGTTAAATTACCAGAAGGTAATGAAGTAATGAACTTTAACAAATATTTCATCTGCAGTGAAATAAAGCCAGGTGTCTTGTTCCCGGATCCAGGACTCAGGGTCAACTTCACTTTTGGGGCCTGAGCTGAGAATAGGAGTCTACATGTATAATATCAAGGATTACCAGTTGTGTTCAACAGCAAAAAAATAAACCAAGTTGCAAAGGGAATGCCGTTGGATAAGGGTACGGAGGATCTTACAGAACTCCATTTCCCTCGGAACCCGCGTGGCTTTGGATTTTCGCCAAGCCCTGCGAAGCCACCAGTTTCCCTTGATCCTCAGATCACCCCCTGGGACCAACTCCTTCTCTTCATGGATTGACGCAGCATCAGGCATATATCTCTCCATAGCTTTAAAGATACGCCTCAGGTGGCCAATGGGCTGGCGATATATACATAGTCTTACATATAAGTAGTTTGAAACCATGCCCTGCAGTGTGCTATATACTTCCCTATCACCATACCCATTTGCAAACCAAGAATCCGCCCATCTGTGGAAAGGTCTCGAATGAAAGCAGGATCATCAGCCATGGCAAGGGCAGTAGTGGTCACACCAGTAGGACCCTCCTAAAAAATATAAATAATGAACTTAGGCCTTCGTTGAGTGTATCCTGTGATGGGGTGGTAAGATCTCTCCAGATTGGGTCATCATGCCTTTATTCCTTTGTTTGATTGCACATGTGCATTACCTGAGCCTGCAGGTGCTGCATGGCTGGGCTACATGGGCGCTTGTCCGGAACCCTCACCTATCATCATCATTCTATATCACCAACATATGATCCCAAGTTGCCATTGGCCCATTCAGGATAGATAATGGCATACATAACAAGTTTCTATAAAGCTATCATCATACATAACCAAAAAGGGTCACTTAACCCTTCGATATCAAAATGATAAAAAGGTCACTTAGGCCTTATGAAGATATCATGGATGTGGTAAGTGACCTCAATCCATTTCGATGCTAAATGACCTCTAATGGAGGTCACTTTGAAGAACCTGGTATATAAATATGATATATATATATATATATATGTAGATATACATCCCATTTGCATCCCATCAGTTCACTAAAGGAGCCAAACCCATGTTAGATCCGATTATATCCCAGTATACACCATTATATCCCATAAATAGTTCATTATATCCCAATATATCTCATTCTATCCTCTTATATCCGATGGTATCCCCATGAGATTTTTAAAATAGGTCACATTTTCATAAATTTATCACCATCATATTAGGGAATATCCTTTAAAATATCCCCCTATATTTCATATTCCATCATATCCCATTAGATATCAAGAAACCATAGTTCATGGCTAACTCCCTCTTTTCATGAGCTTCCCCACGCAGGTGCACCGGGCCTTAAGGGCCGCATTTTACAACGCAAAACACTGTGCGGTTGTGTCGTCACACCATGGGGTCTAACCTTCTCCGAAAAGAAAATGCTGGGATAACTATCAAATATTGGGATTTAACCATGAATAATTGCAATTTAAGCATTCACAATGGCGATTTTTCACATGAGTTTTCACCATCCCAACTTTTCGAGTTAAACATGGTGTAACCATGTGATGTGGGATGGGCACCTGTTGGACTATTGTGAAGTTACACCAGTAGAAATGGCCATCCAGTAATCCAACGTGATTCTTGGACTATTCTTTCCTTTGATGTCCAATTTCTACATATTTGAGCGCTGGCAAGTAAAGCTTTTGCTGCTGGAACATGGTTGGAAGCTCGCCGCCGTTGCTGGATTTTGCCATCACAAGGTCCTTGTTTTTAGTGAGCACAGATATATCTTTGACACATCCAAAGTTACAACTTATCAAACCGTAATATCTATAATTCACATATGTATGTATACACATATAAACAAAATATGTATAATTACATATAAATATGTATAATTATATATATACAAATATATGTTATATATATATATAATTATATATATGTAATGATATATATATAATATATATATAATATATATATAATATATATATGGCACATATTTGCAGATATATCTATAGCAAATGGATTTTATGAAGCAACTTGCAACTGCCGCTGCGCCAACTTGCGCGCCATTTTGACGGCCATGCAAAACGCAAGGTTCTCGGGGCCGCACCTGTGCCGCTTGTCGTTGGCCAGGTGATTTGTGTGCGAAGTCTATGGAAATTATCGGTATAATACTAGCAGGTTAACTACTCTAAAAAGCATTGGTTTGGTAATTTGATACTTAATATGGGTTGGTAAGTACCATATATCATATATCGGTTGATACTTAATATGGCTGAAATGTTGAAACCATCATACCATGGGGTTGGTCATATGTTGCCACAAATGGGAAATCAACATACCAAACCAGCCGTTTTTTCACTGGAAATTTCAGGACCCTAAAATGGTACGTTAGTACCATATTTTTGGATTTTTGGGCAACATTGTGTGGGGATATTCTTTGAATTTTAGCCCGCGCATAGGCCTTATATAGGAGATACTACCTCCAATTTAGGTCTCTGAAATGGCCATTGAAAAATAGCAGGTTTCTATTTTTCAACATGTAGTGGTAATGGAAACGGGTGTAATATAAAATGTTACTCTAATGGGCTGAATATTAAACAAACAAACTGATTGCAGTATGTACAAATAGAGTAATTAATGCTAGTAATGATGTAGTAATGGTTGGTTTTAAGCAAACATGTTCAAAACGTGTTCAAAAAGTCTGTTTTATCTAACAAGAAAGGGGCTGAACCATCCAGTCATGGGGATGTTTTCACAAACAAAAGCAGGACAGGACTTTGAAGAGGGAACATTGATAGCTCCTTGGCCTAATTTGCCCCCCTCCAAACCACTGGATATTAGATAGTTTTTGTCTGCAAACATGGGTTTGTTTTGGTGGAGGAGAAATGATGTATGAAACCAAATATCTTCCAAAGAAGATCGTACAACAACATGAGGCACAACCAGTAAACGTGTGGATATTTGCACTTTACAAAGGTCTCAAAACTTCAAATGGCCTTTTGAGGATGATGAAATGAAACCAACCAAAATTCGTGGTGAGCTCTGCCTGTAAATAAAGTCTGAACAGACAAGAACCAATGGAAATTTACATAGGCGCAAAAGGGCCTGCCTTGAACCTTCTTGACGGCCAACGTAAGGGGCCTATTGGTGAAAGAAATTGTTGAGCTCTTCTCTTTGTTGGATACAGCAGCGATATCCAGCAAGAGGACATATCAACTGAAAAAGTGATGGTAACATAATTCGAGCCATGACCAAAACACTGTATATGGGGCATGGTCAAAGCGGAATCCAAACGTACCGTAACCTGTACCCTCTGGTAAACTAACATAACTATGGAAAATCACCATTTTTAGCATATAGATTTACCCATAAAAAATGATAAAACCATATAAATCACCATTTCTCTCTCTCCATCGCCATCCCGAAGGTATCCCCATTGGGGGTTAATATTAAAAGGTATAAATCCCTGATTGGGATATGGTAACGACTTCGGAATGGTTGGGTACTGGAATGGTTTACTGTATTGTTGGGTTGCTTACTGCACGACAAGTGGGCTGGGAATTTCAAATTTGAGTTTGAGCAATATAGCTGGTAACATCAATGATAAAGACAGCAACAATAATAATGGGGAGATACTTCTGATGTCTGTAGATGATGGGGCACTCTCAAGTCCGACAGATTAGAATCATCTGACCAATTTGGGGATATACTCAATTTTGAAACAAACTCATATTGAAAGCTGCTGGGAATGAGGTGAAGAAACATGGTTTGATGCAACCTTTTCAGGTATGGCCTCTTCCATACCGTTACCAACGTGGAAACCAACACATGCCAATGGGGAGCAAATCCTGGTGGGGGCAACAAGCAACAGGCGACTCAGCCGGCTAAGGTTTTTTCCTCTCAAATGTTGGTCAAAGAATACAATAATATCACAGTCAATTTACAGTAGGTTAAAACCACATGCATTTGATCGATTTTCATTTCAACTCACCCAGTGACTTCACAACTTTCTTAGAGTTACACGCCTATTAGATCGGCTAATTTCAACTAAAACCCATGGTTTCATTCAAAATTGAATTCTAAATTTGTCATACAGTTCTCGGCCTTTTTCCAGTTACAAGTCAGTGAGTCACCCCACTTAGGGAATGATAATACCATTTATAACCAAGAAAATAAGCTGGTGAAGGGCTTTACTTCTAACTGTAATTTGCCCATAAAAAATATAATTTAACACATGCCTATAAATGTAGATAAGCATTGAGAACCACATTTATAACCTTTTTACTGGTAAAGACCATTCTATATCTGGCTTCAGAACATTTCCCAATGAAACTCCTTGTCTTTTCACACCTGGACGCTCAAGCGGCGTTGCCAGAAGCAGCTCCTCCCGTGGCCAGCTCCTGAACATACAACCCTGGCTTTGTTGCTACAAAGCATGGGATGATCTTGGCATAATGCAACAATAATACAACAATAATGAGATTTAATAAGATGCCCTTTGGTAATTTTACAGGGTTTCAATATGGTAAAATCACGGAGTGTTTTTTTCGGTCAATCTCATCATCCAATAATCTTTTTCGGCCATGGCTTCCAGAGTCCGCGATGTCACTAACAACTAAGAGGGTATATAACATATTTACATCTTGACCAACCACTAATTGGGACAATTGGGACCCAACCATATATCACATATATACTAGAAAACCATCCAAAATTGGGACTCAACCATCTGTAGTGAGATATTCTTGGGACGATCAAAAGGATTTCGCTGGCATATCACAGGCAATATAACCAAGAACAATAGGAACTTTGTAGGCAGAAAACATGAGAATCATGAAACATTGAATTCAATTTACCATCTGGTTATGACTAACACAGCCATGGAAAATCACCATTTCTATGGGCCATTTCCCATGGCTATTTCTATGGAATTATGCAATCTTTTTTGATGCTAATCATCCGATACTTTCAAGCTGCAAAATGATAAAAGGCTGGGAAAGCCGCAAAAGCGCACGGCTGCGGGAAACACGGCGGGGCAAAAGGTGGGACTTTTTGTGGACACGTTGCGGGCAGAACGGATATTACACCCTACATATCTATATATATATATATATTACAAACAATTATAAATATATATATACAATCATATATTTATATATATATATTTACAATCATGTATATATATATATATATGTGATATGTCTTAATTCATTTGTTTCCTTAAATCTCACCTGCAGTCCAGTCAGTGCACCCTGCAAAGGTCTCAAAACCTCAAATGGCCTTTTGAGGATGATGAAATGAGACCAACCAAAATTCGTGGTGAGCTCTGCCTGTAAATAAAGTCTGGACAGACAAGAACCAATGGAAATTTACATAGGCGCAAAAGGGCCTGCCTTGAACCTTCTTGACGGCCAACGTAAGGGGCCTATTGGTGAAACAAATTGTTGAGCTCTTCTCTTTGTTGGATACAGCAGCGATATCCAGCAAGACATATCAACTGAAAAAGTGATGGTAACATAATTCGAGCCATGACCAAAACACTGTATATGGGGCATGGTCAAAGCCGAATCCAAACGTACCGTAACCTGTACCCTCTGGTAAACTAACATAACTATGGAAAATCACCATTTTTAGTATATAGATTTACCCATTAAAAATTGTGATTTTCCATAGTTATGTTAGTTTACCAGAGGGTATATACATCACTGTGAATCCCTCAAAAAATGATTGATAACGATGTTCATAGTGTGGGAAGATAGCCCACGTAACCAAACCACAGCGCATATCAAGAAGTCATGGACCATTATATAGTCATTATCCTCTGGCAAACTAACTAACGTAACTATGGAAAATCACACATGTTAATATAGGACAATCATCTGTAACTTGGGATTGTCCATAGCTAGGTTAGGTTTACCCAAGGGTATATTATATATATATATATTATTTAACAAAAAATATAATATATAATCTAAAATAATTTAATATGATATAATATGATAACAATAGCATAGTAACATATAGTATAATCAATAATAAAAAATAAATTCTAGTTTAATATAACATAAAAAAATAAAATCACATATATCTCTATATGTGTATATATATAATATACAAAACATATACAGAACATATACATATCTTCCCGATGTATCCCCGTGATCTCCGCATCAACACAGCCCCAGGCCATCACGGCAAGCCACCCACGCGGAGAGGATGTGCCCGGCGATCTCGCGCACGCCCTGGTCGTGCTTCACCGCCGCGAAGATCTGAGCTGCAAATGTGGGAGAGATTACCAATGGTTAATACCAATATAGTTAATATATCATTGGTAATATATTAATTAGCCATTGTTAATATACCAATTACTATATTAGCCATTATACCAATATAGTCAATATAATGGTTAATGGGAGAGATTGGGAGAGCTTCAACTATGTACCGGAAAACATTGGGAGCTAACACGCTTGGCCAATGAAAGTTGGTGTTTAATCAGTAAACATGTGGGTTTGACCGCTGTAAATTGGGGTTCCACCAGCTAAGAGGGAAACAAAAACACATGGAGTTGAACCATCAAAAATGCGAATTTCTGCAAATCTCTTACATCCCAGAAGTGGTTTAAAAAGGGCCACTCAACCATGACCTCATTTGTGAAATGGCAAAGACCATAGTTTCCAGTACAATATGTGTTCAACCAATCCCTTGAAACCGTCCAAAATGTTGGCTCAAACAGCAATACATATATAATATATATAAAATATAATATATAATATAATATATATATATATGTGCAGGCTTTATCAGTCACCAATTCCGACATAAGCAAACAAGAATGGAATATTCAACGGCAATACTGTGTTTGGTTAGCAACCAATCCGAAAAACACACATGAAAATTAGGATCATGATCACATTTTGCGATGATGCAGCACAAAAACACACACACAGACAATTCAAACTAATTACCAGCGACTCAGCATGTTTCAACATCCAGCACATGGGTCTGGAAGAGGCTTTGTGAAATTGAATGTGCCCTATGTTGTGTGACTGGTCTTAGACCCACCCATCCAACAGAATTGCATCTGTTATGCTTTCCCTACGTATCGCTGAAAGCAAAACCCATTAACCTACCCCTTCAAGTTCGTTTGCCTGCATACCCCATCTGTGTACCTACCCATGTTTGCTAGTTGTTGTTTGATGATACCCTCATACAACAACAACCAACTAATCAACTATATATTGTATACAGGTTCACCATCAATACCATCTGACAGACGACAAGCTAACAATTTCACGTGCAGCTATATATATATATAACATTATATAACTATATCAATACATCCTCACATGGTACCATCTGTTGGTGCCCCCTCTCAGGAATTTGTTCTAAGCGGCTGTGGGCCCTGTACCTCTCATCCTCAGATTGGGCCGCATGGGACATTTCCACATCTACAGTTTTCTCTCAGGAATCTCGAAATGTGAGGCTTGTCCCTGTAGATGGGAAATTCCACACTTGCCAAGTTTAATGTTGAAAGTGATTGTCTAAAGCCTCTTAAATATCTCCCAATTAGGGATGTTCCAAAACTGCATGTTTCATGAGGCACAGATGATGTTTGAACGTCTCTTAAATATCACCAAATTAGGGATGTTCCAAAGCTGCATGTTTCATGAGGAACAAATGATGTTTGAAAGTCTCTTAAATATCACCAAATTGGGGATGTTCCAAAACTGCATGTTTCATCAGGAACAAATGGTGTTTGAAAGTCTCTTAAATATCACCAAATTAGGGGTGTTCGAAAACTGCATGTTTCATGAGGAACAAATGATGTTTGAAAGTCTCTTAAATATCACCAAATTGGGGATGTTCCGAAACTGCATGCTTCATGAGGAACAAATGATGTTTGGCGTAGGCTTTTGGGGACGTCTAATCTTGAAACAAACTGATAGATTTGCATTTTTTTAGCAGGTGGTGGAAGTCCCACGGCGAGTGGCCACTTTCAAGCTTATGTATAGTCATCCCCAAATAGATGGAAAAGTAAATCCCTACTAATTTGATGGTGATTCACTTTTCCATCTATTTGGGGATTACTGTAGATGCAGGTTGTGAATTTTGTGCTGTTTTGTTGTTCTGTAATCTCAATCCACGACCAGGTTTCACGTGAGCTCACCACTCTTTTGGCCGTCCAGGGCGTGGTGCATAGCTCATGCGGGGGGGGGGGGCATTGTCGCTTTTGGTGTCCAGTCTGGTGCATCGAAAAGACCACCAATGGGAAAAACAAATGTTCAATGGGAAAATGTTCAATAGGAAAATTATGGGAAAATTGTGTTCAATGCCTTGCATCTTTGATGTTCAATGGGAAAATTATGATGAACCACCCAATTTTGCGTACCTGATTGCCAAACAAACCCATTTAAAGTAGATAAATCATCATCCTTTAGTTGCTCAACCTATTCTCAAATCTCTACAAACTCGATTCATGTCAGATAAATCTGATAATTATACTGGTTGGTGGTATACCTACCCCTTCTGAAAATATGAGTTCGTCAGTTGGGATGATGACATTCCAAATATATGGGAAGTCAAAAAATCATGTTCCAAACCACCAATCAGTAATGTTTATAGATGAATTATTGTGATTTACCTATTAAAGATGATGATTTTCCATGGCTACGTGAAATAACCAGAGGGTAATTATAATATCTAATCATTTCTGTGGCTCAACTCCCATTCTTTTTTTTCCCACGCTTTCCCTACAAACTGCCGGGCTCCTGGGGCCACAAAAAGCTGCCGAGGCTCTTCTTCGCGTCCCGATCCATGACATCCAAATCGGCCCCGACAGCCGGAGCCAGGTCCACCTTGTTGATGATCAACAGATCCGACTGCGTGATACCTCAGCACCATGATACCCTCGAAAAATGATGATTTAGGCAACAATATATATATATATGTGTATATATATATGGTGATTTATTAGGTGACATACCTGATATATGATAGCTAAACTGGTCGGATTCTCTTCATATTCTTCCTGGTCAACATGAGAAACTGGAAGCTGCATGATATGCCAAGCATGGTATCTAATCCAGTAGGTATTGATCCGCAGCCATTTCAGGAAACTGGGGTTTCCTAAAGATTTGGGGAACTGCAAGTTATCATCCAAGTGATTGGTGTGATTGGTGTTATCTTTACCTTTCAGAAAGAAACATGTGCTCTGACATTGAAATGGAAACACCCAACAAATGTACAGGGAAGCGCCACAAATCCAAATAAAACCGGTGTTCAATTGAACCGAGACAGCAAGATCAACCAAACATGAACATGCCTTTCTTGGGATGATCGCCATCGTAAAAACCATCATTTGAAATGATGTTGATCCACAAACATTAGTTGAGTTCCTAGATAACAAAAATGAAGCAACACGTTGGCTGTTTCGATGTCAATGTGTGCATGACAATTTCAACCGAGAAATATTGAAACATATTGAACCCCCATTCAATCACCATCATGGTTGGTTTCCTGCGTTTTTGTTGCTTAAATTCCATTCTGATCCAATTTCTTGGTCCACCACCCCTGGGCTTCTGCAAAATATGAATATCAAAAATACATTCGGGACTATATAATTGGAATATCATGTCAACGCATATATGTATGATTACAATTAATGTAACAAATGTATTGTTAATATCATATCACACACACATATATATATATATATATCACACATGGAATTCAAATCTGATATTACGGATACATGAACTATTATCATCCATATTCCCAAAACATCATTCCCATATTCTCATATTGGAATTCCATGGTACTATATATAAATACTGAAATACTCATAATACCATATTAAGGGGGTTTCCTAAAATAGGAGTACCCACAAATCATCCATGTTACCAAGATTTTCCCTGATAAACCATCCAGCTATTGGGTACCCCATTTATGGAAACCCCCAAATGGCGAGCCAATTATTCATCTATCATTGTTAGTTCTACATTCACTAGTAAACACTGTTAAACACTATTAAGCACTATTAACCACTATGAACCATCATAAACCACTATAAACCACTATTAACCACTATTAACATGTGGTACCACTAGGACAACTATGATATATGTACCACATGTTTTCATATTCCCATGGTAAAACCTGGCGAAAAATGGCGAGCAAACCTTTTCTGCACGGTGCCAGGGCGCCAGGGCCACCTTTGCGGGGGACCTTGTCACCTCCGGCCACATCGATGACCTGGGCGGGACATAGGGCGGGACATGCAACGAAGATTGAGATGATTTTAGATGCCCTTAATAGATCATAGTATATAGTTATACCTTTTAGATGACCTTTAATCATATGATATTAATATAGTTATAGTTTGTACATCATATGATATTAATATATAAATGATCGATATTTCTATTTTTTGTTTTAAAGCTGTGCAATGATAATAGATGTACTTTATTACTTTGTACTTGTAATTTCTTTATCATGGGTACAGTTATTTTAGACTTGCATAGTATGAAGTGATATACCTATGATAATTAAGCGATCATCCTTACTATGATTTACAGGAAACCATGCGATTTTGGCCATGAAATATAGGGGCTTTCCGGCTAAGATGTTCCCTTGAAACAATTCGGGCATCATCTGCTAGGTCGGATAGTCAAGGACATATGGAATGATGACGACATCGGATAGTCCCAGCTGAAATCTTCAGGTTTGTCTGAAACTAGGCTATCTCCAAGTGGTTTTAACCAGCACTTTCTCTATGACAATTGCCATTTGGGGAGCAGGACCCCATTTTCAGGCAGACCCTGCGCCTTGGATGAACAGTGACAGTGGGCACTTCAATTCATGGCCAGAGCTTTTTTAGAGTTTGGCATTCCAATTCTTGCAAGGCTATGACTTTGACCCATTCCTCGTCTACCATCATTTATGCTGATGGTCGCTTGAGGACAAACACAACCCTGAGGGAGTATGAGTGGGGAGGGGAGTGATTTCCGGGGTAGTGCCCTCTGAGGAAGTGAATAGGGTAAGATGTTTCTTCTTACCCAAGGTATATTGACACTAGAACGGGATCCAAGCACATCAGTCACGTGGTACCCGTCAAACTATTTTGATATATTTGCAATAACCCAAGAGTTAACTTGCTTATGAACCAACTTAGCTAAGTAGGGGGCTTAGCTTCTGGTAATGCCATGCCTTTTTGGAAATCACTAGAATTGGTAAATTAACACCTACTAATGTATATTATTGATGACCATACCTCAATTACCGGAATGTCTCGTCCGACTTTTGACTACAATACCCTAGTGATATATTACTACATGCTCATTCATATCCTGCTAATTCATATCTAATTGCCAATGACCATGGCAAAGAAGTTATAAAACAATATTTTTGTACTTAATTGGCCATATGCCATATACATAGTTATATTACACTTATTTATTATACTTACATAATGGATGTATTATTATTAATTATTATATATAGATATATATAGTTGTATTACCTTTATTATAGTTTCAGTATATTATAGATACATTACAGTTCTTATTATTAGTTATTATGGATATATCATAGTTATCCCACCCCCCATGCCACCCCGCCATTGAAATCTCAGCGGCGTAGATGGTGTAGTCCGCCAGCTCCCTCGAGAAGTTGGCAGCGAGGTTATCGCCACCGCTCTCCTGGGAAAATCTGGGAATCCGCTAAGAACAGCAAAAAAAGCAAAACTATGGCTATAGTTAATATATTTAGAGTGTTAAGTAATGGTTAATAGTGGTTCGTAGTGGTTATATAGTAGTGTTTAATAATGGACATCCCCCAATTCTAGGCCTGGTTGGTGGTTTTAACAATCTTGCAAAATATAAAAGTCAATGGGAAGGATTATCTCATATATTATGGAATAGAGTAGATGAATATAGTAGAATATATTCTGGTTGGTATACCTACCCCTCTGAAAAATATGAAAGTCCAGTTGGGATTATTCTTCCCAATATATGGAAAAATAAAAAATGTTCCAAACCACCAACCAGATAGGGATGCCAAGGGGAGATGCCGATGAAAACTGTGAAAAAACGAGGGTTTGAAATGGTTTTAATGGGAAAACCAAGCATAATATGAACAATATGGGTTTAATAGGTATGGCGAACTGGAAAATCACCATCCAAAAAATAGGTAAATCAACGAACTAAATGGTCCATGGCTTCAGTAGCAAACTGTTTTTTTTCTGATGATCAAATGGGATGAATGATCTAAAACTATGGAAATCCATGGTTCCTGTCTTGGTGGGTGTTGCATATCCTTATTCATATGTTAGTTTACTCGAGGATACGCCATTCTCTGTATGAATGGCGCAGCCAAAAAAAGTTGGATATGTTACTGTTAAACAATATCTTAAAAAATGATGATGTGTCTTGAAGCCCAGCAGCCTCTCAAAGCTCCAACCAAACCGGAACCCAGCTCGGCTCGCTAAACGACTCCAACGGTATTGCCACCGGCAAGAATCTTACCTTCCTTTCCAGTGTCACCGAAGTTTTTGTCCGTTCGGCTTGAGCCTCCAGGAATCCAGTCAACTTGCCTCCCATATCCCTGGAGTCCAGCTGCAAATCAACCAATTGCAGTCCGTCACTGTACCTCAATCGGCCAAAAATCAGCATCAGGAAAAAGCCTGCTGCAATCCTGTCATAGCTGGTTCTTGCAGTGTCATGGACTGTCGCCTCCAATGCAATGATCTGGGCAACTGTTAATGGAGGTCGCTGCACAATCTTGCATCTGTCAGCTGCCGGAAAGTCTATATAGATGTGTTTTGTTTTCTTCTTGGCGATGCAGTGTTTGATTACAAAAGCTACAAGTACCGAAAACATCCACAAGCTGGGTATCGGTAAGTGGAAGTTGAATGGACCTATCTATATGGGATGCTGTTCCGTTGACAAAGCTCCAAGCATGAAGGAATGGATGGACTGAGTCCCCAGGCACAAGTTTCAAACCAAGGTGAAGATTTATGTAGGCCAAGGCCATTTGATGACACAACATGTTCGAACCAATTGGCCCCGGATTGGGCTCAACTGAAGTTTGGGGACTTCGTACTTCGTACATTGCAAGTTCACACAACGCAATGATCTTCAAATATTTCAGCTGGTCTGGTCTGGGCGACTCTAGTCAATAGGTCACAATGGCTTGCCAGCTAAATGATAGATCATCCTGGGTAATCAAACACAGCTATTAGAGAAACAAACACGGTTGTGTGCTCATGATCTGTACTTATATACATGTTATTTGCCTATTGAAATTAGAGATACTGGTAGAATGTATGAAAAAATGTCCATTGCCAGGCTAGATGACTATTGGGTCGGCCAGGGCCCGACCCACCAGATTCTGAGATGGAAACAATGTCAAGACCAACCCCTCGCCGGATCCGAAATCCAATCGAGACGTTTCGCGCCCCCACCGAGATGTCGTGTTTCTCCACATGCCCTTGCGATTTCCACTTTCCCAAACCAAATCCGATATCCCAACCAAAAATCCCCAACTTGGTATGTCTCAAAATGTTGTGTCCCCAAATCTCATGGGTTTCATTGTCCCTGTATAAACTTGAACTGCCATAAAACTGGGGTGATCACATTCCCCACTTCCGATACAGTGGATAGTTTGAACATTAAAGTAATGTTAATCCTAACAAATCCAATCTTACATTCTTACAACATATTGTTTGTCTACTTGTCTACGTTTATTTCACATGTTTGCAGCTATATCTAATGATATCATGTGATATCTGATGTATCCCCTAGGAAAAAAAAAAGCAAATCTTCACAGCCAAGGGTCGCAAATGATAAGCTGAACGCCGTCATGCTGCTCAGTTAGAGCTTCACAGGCGGCCAAGTTGGAACTGATATCCTCTCCTCATTGCCGGAAGGTACTTGGATGTGCATCCCAGCTAGTAAGTGGAACATGAACCAAACATTAGTGGGTTAACCAAACCGGGTATGGGTCAAAAAGATTGGAGGACCACAGCGGATGGTTTAATAATGTGCGGGTCCAGTGATGCCCTAATTTTGACCAATTGCCGTTAATATACCAAGGATTACCAAGGTCATTGATTCCCAAAATACACATCGAAGTAATGGGTGATCACCCCAAACTCAATGAGCAGCATCACGAAATTGGTGGGATCAGGAAACAACCGTCACTACCCAGGTGGATATCGATCAATTTTCCAAGAAAAAATGTGACGGCTGAAATCTCGGTTCGCATGGTGTGCTGACCCTGCTGGCCCCACTTGTGGGAAGTAACAAAGGGGGCTCCTCCTGATTGGAGGCCCCTGAAAATCACACGGAAATTCAGCTGCTGTCTATCGCACAGCTACTGCGCCAAGGGTTGCCGGAGAAATACCAATAGCCCCATCAATCTTATCCATTAATATCCCAATCCAATGTGTGTCGTTTCGTGTCCTGTTGTCTCTGTTGCATATCCTGCAAGTGTGGCATACAATAATACAATCTCATCATATGTCCAACAATTATGTGTAATTATCCCATGGTTATTGTGGTATATATAGTATTATTACTATTCTCATCATATCTTATTATTTCATTCGACATGATAAATACTAAAATATATTCTATTCTCAAGAAAATGGAATATAATTATAAATCATTCCCAAATAAGTGGTTTTATGACATTGTTTACCCACATTGTCTGGTGATAATGATGGAATAACCATGGTTGATGGTGAAAATATGGCTAGCCCTATATGGTTTCACCTACATTATCCCATTATGATCCCAGTATTATCTGGTTGGTGGTATACCTACCCCTCTGAAAAATATAAAAGTCAGTTGGGGTTACTATTCCCAATATATGGAAAAATACAACATGTTCCAAATCACCAACCTAGCTATTGAAAATGGCCATAGAAATAGTTGATTTACCCACTCAAAACGATATTTTGCATAGTTTTGTGTATGCTTACCAGAGGGTAATCCCAGTATTACCCTCATCATTCCATGATTCTGGGTAAATTATGATATTTCACTAACCTGAATTATGAGCCATTTGGGGATGATTTCCCTTATTAACTATGATTCCAGGGCTCGGTCGCAGGGTTCGGTCGTGATGAAATTTACCCAAATATTTTGGGGGCATATCCCCTTACATAGCCCTTACATAGGCCTTATATATGGTAGGTACCTCCAATGGCCATTGAATTGATGAATGTGGTGACCCATGATTCTCCCACTCGCCATCCCGACGAATGAGGCACGGATGGCGGCATGCGGACAGCCCCCCGTCTCCACCGCCTTGATGCGATCGCTCTCAAGCGCGCCGTTGCCTCGAAAGGCGCGCAAGCAAAATGCTGGATGGTTGGTGAATGGTTGGTAGAAACATGATGAAACATCTAAGAAATCAGGATTTTTGGTGGAAAAATGATGAAACAATGTATTTATCAGGGTTTTCAGTTCATCTGGCACTATTGAATGATGTACGTGAGACGGTATGGGCCAAGGAGTATTTTGCAGGACGCCAGTGTGTCCAGCCAGTTTGGTTACCCACACATCTTCATAAAGTACGTCTATCTGATGCGGAAAAAAACGACTTCCCAAGAACGTCTTCAGTGCCACCAGCATGCAATCGGCACCGGAGATCGCGCCGGAGTACGGATGAACGCTTTGTACTATGTTTCGGTATCGCCAAGTGAAATTTCGGTGATACATTCGTGATCCAACTACCAAAAAGCCGTGTTAAACGCCACATGAAGAGTTTTTGGTTTATTGGGGATGCATTGCCGCTCAAACTGTGAGATTCACGCTGTCAAGTTGAGAGCATATGATGTAGAGCATCTGCAAACAAGTGGCGTCCCCCAAGAGAAAAAACACATCGAGCAGATTCTCAGGTTTGAATGCCTACGTACATCCCCACATCACAAAAGGGGGAAGTCTAATCAAGGGCCACTGAAAGAGGTGAATTAATCTTATATCACATTTCTGGTATGCTTGGATTTGCATAAGCATCGGGGGTGTATTTATATAAGCATGAAACCTGTAGCTTTTGGACTATAAGCAAACAACAAGACAACAAGAAACCTATGCGCTTTCGTACCTTCAAGATTCAGATTTTGCTTCCAGATCAGATTATAATTGATATGTCCATGTCAAATCGTAGTTACGATGCAAAAAGAAAAAGATACACCCCACTCTACAGCAACAAAGATAATTGAGTTATCCTGGATATCCTAACCTACCGATTCAGTCAAATTCCCCGATCTTTCCTCCATCATGTCTGGTTGGTGGTTGCAACCCCTCTGAAAAATATTAGAAAAATATTAGTCAAATGGGATTATTGTTCCCAACTGAATGGAAAGTCATAAAATTCATGTTCCAAACCACCAAGCAGTGATTATTAACCATCATTAACCATCATTAAACATCATTACCCCATACTAAACCAAAGTTTTTTTTGGGCTGTGTAGACACAGCGGCGATTTAGAAACTCCGCATCTTCGCGCGTGAAGATATCATTGGTCACC